AAATTCAGTAATTTCTTTCAGGTGGAGGTTAGTAAAGTTAAATGAATTCCCAGTGTGAGACTCCTTTGTAGAGTTGACTAATAACTCAGCAATATATAATAAATTTGGAACTATTATAATAAGACTTCTGCTTGGTATAGTTAATGTGACTGCTGATACAGTTACTAGGAATAGAGGGTTTTTAACAGGTAATCAACTTACTATATGCAGCTGAATTCAACTAGCATGGTGCTAGACATGGGATGCCCACCTGATGATTGCTGCAAGCAGCATAAAAACAGAACAGGAGAAGGTGCTAAAATTCTGTTAGGTGTGCTGTTTGGAGAAGCTGTTGGAGTTGTTGGAAGCTGATAGTTCTCTTGTGGTGCTCTGCTGGAGGACCTTGTCTTGTTGGCTTTCCCACTGAACTTTGGAGAAGCTTGGGTCCTCATCTTGAGCATTGATTCCAGGCTCCAGAGAGAAAGATGGTGCACTGCTCAGCCTCATGAAGCTTGTTGCATTGGCTTTCATTTTTTGGGGGGTGGGGGCAGCAGATATTGAACCCAGGCCCTTGCACTTGCCAGGAAGGCCCTTATTCTAGTGAGCTATCTCCCCAGCCTTGCATTGGATTTACTGATGGAAACTCGACTTTTCTCATCACTGGAGGAGATTGGGACCTCATTATTGCTGAAGATGGTTGTTGTACTTTTGGAGGTTGTTGTACCCTTGTTCTTGAGGGTTTCTTCCTAGCCCCAGTTCAAATGCCTCAGCTTTTCTAGCACAGATCCTTCATCCCACTGGGATAGACTTCCTAGCCTTCACCATTGACCTTTGAGCCCTTCTAGCACATGTCCATGAAGCAGGCCTGTATGAGACTTTGCTGTTTGCTCAAGGCCTCCAGTTAGACTGGTGGGAAACATTGCTATGAGCTTTGGGCCTTTAGGTGGATTATTTAGTATGTAGTATGAGGCTAGATTTTTCTGTACTCATTACACATGATTCATTCATTATAAAATACTATTTTAAAACATATCCTGCACTATATTGCTCACCTTGAAAAAACCCAAAATCATGAAACTAGCCTTTGTCACTAGCAGTTAAACTTCATTTATTGGTTTGTGAAGGTCACCAAAACCTTAAGATGGTTCCCAAATGTATGGTATAACCATAGGTATTGGGATTTGGGAGTTTAATTCCAAATTATACTAGTGGTAACATGTTGGGTTTCATGTCTTACATTAATTATTTATTTAATTTATGAAATAATATGAGGACAAATGTACCAAGAAATAAGAGATTATACAAGAGTGCTCAATCTGCATCTCTCAGAAAATTGAAATTCAAGAGATCCTTTATTTATAGTGCAAATATGCTGAATACATTCATTTATTACCTTTATCTGTTAAAAAATTATTTTGTGCATTTCAAAAGCATGACTTTATAGATGCATGTCACAAAATATGAGTCACACTTAAATGAGGCCCTTCTTCAACTATGCTTGTGGGAGGGAGACACTACATTGTGTCACTATGAAATATGAAAGGGTCCTGGAGAAGTAGGTAAGGTACATGTGGTAGATATAATTTTGTCTGTTGTTATGCACTCCATATTGTCAAATGGAGTTATTTTTGAACATTAAAGCAGATCCTATCTGTTTTACTTCCTCTGAGCATGGGGAATTAGTATTCATAAACTATGTCAATAATCTACAGTGATCATTGAAAATATCTGCAGATTAGAGCCAGGAAGATAGCTCAGTGAACTAAGTGCCTGCTAGGGAAGCCCAGGGACTACAGTTTGATCCCTGACACCACATGCCATACCAGCAACACACCTGGGTGAGCTGAGCTGGTAACAGAGTCTGGGCATGGTGGCATGTGCTTATAATCCCAGCACTGGGGAGGCTGAAAACAGGAGGATCACTAGGAGTATGACCTTTCTAGTGAAACCATGTACAAAAAGAAAAAAAGAATACATCTGCAGATGACACAGAATAATGCATACAGTAAATATTAGTGATCACATACATATAAGCTATATCTTTCAGAGAGTGCAAAATGCCTAATAATGAAACTCTACAGTAAACTAAATTATTTTCTCACATTTTTTGATTAGAAGAAAATAGAATATTTAGTAAACTCAGTTTCCTATGTAAATGTTTTTATGCTTGTATTTCAAATACATATTTACAGTCTAACTTTATGTATAATTTTAATTTTACTTTTCACATACTTACCATAAGAGCTCAGTAATACACCATATATTGTAAAGTTTAACACAAAATTTACTGGCAGAATATTCTATAGTTAAAAAAATTATGAAATGTAAAGAAATTTTCATAAAACTTACTACATGAGACACAATTGCAGGTTAGAACAGTGAATTTGATTTCATCTTCAGATTCTAGAAATGTTGGACATGAATTCTTATCTGATTTTCATTGATTACTTCTTTTTGTATACTTTTTGCTTTGTATCTCAATAGTGTAAAAAAGCCATAAAGAGCATTTTACAAAAATGCACCTACTTACCAGCCCTGGAGCCATTTCTGTATGATGCACCTCCAAACATTCTGAAGCACGTGCTTGGACAGTTCAGCAAGGTATGAAGCACACTTTTATTTCATTGTATGAAGGAAGGTGATACAGTGAAGATTATTTGTCACCTTGTTTATGTTTTATTTTCTCTGCTTGCTTTTTTTCCCCTGTAAAATGGAGTTCTGGGATTTACTAAACTCTCAACAATCCGTGTTGACAAATGTAACACAGGTAAATAAAAGTCTACATATCAATATTCCCTCCTCCTTTACATTTGCTCATAATCTCTGTATTATCTTTTTTGTTGTTTTCAGGAAGTAAATTTTGTGTCAAGACATGATACACATACTTTATTGTAATAAGTAGCTTTTAGTAATTTTTCCAGTGTTTTTTAATGTCACCCACCTAGGGGACACAGCAATGCTCATTTCACAAGAGAAGGAAAAAGTCTGAGTCCTTTGAAGTATTTCTCATAAAGTCCATGCACTGCGGACTAGAGATGTTCCCAGTCAGCCATTTGGAGCACTTGGATATTTTCATGAATTATATTAGCCAATGGAGTGATCATATTCCTAATATCATTGCAAGCTACAGGGTAGTGTAGTGGTTGATACATTGTATAAATTGTGAAGTTTAAAAGTTTAATTAAGTGACTCAACAGACAGCCATTATTCTTAGTTTTTAAACATACTTATCCCATGCAAGAAGAGGGAATAGACATTGTGTAAGTTCTACACCCCACTCCCAGGGTAGTTTGTTTACAATATAAAGAATGGAGAGAGGCTTGCTAAAAGCTGCCTTTTGCTTTACTCTTCACTGTTTTCTGCTACTATAAACTGCTGCTTTCTGCCATATGCTTCTCTGCCTGGGAGCCAAACATGTATAGACTAAAACCTCCACAAGTTGAGTTAAATAAACCTTTCCTTCCTTAATTTTGGTTGCCAGATATTTTGTCCCACCAATGAGTAAAATGTAACCGAGACAAAATTTGGTACCAGGAGTGGGGAGGGGGTCATTGCTGTGACTGAATCTGACCATGTGGATTGCAAGCCCTTAAAATTGGCTTATAAAAAGAAATAAAAAAGGTTGAGAGATGTCTTCTAAAAACAATGCACTAGAATAGCTTTGGCTATTCTGTTTGAGAGATTCTGGTCAGAGTTCAAAATACCAAAAGACTGATCAAAAGCCTACCTGTAAAAACCAAGCTGGGGGACTGGCCAAATTGCTCAGTGGATTAAAGTGCCTGAAGCAGGTGCAGGGGGCTGGGGTTCAATCCCTGGGCCTGCTGTGCCAGCCTCACCCATGGAGTACACTGAGTTGGTGATTGAGACTGGGCAGGCCTGTGATCCGAGTACTTAGGAGGCTGTAAACAGGAGAATCACTATGAGTCCAATCTAGTAGTGAGACCCTGAACACCCTATAGACCCTTCCCTAAAAATACAGAAAAAACAATTAAAAGATAAATAAATAAATACAAACCAGCCTGGGGAGGCATCTGCTGAAAAGAAGGACTATATTCATTGTTGGACTCCAGATGATTTGTGTTATCACTTTGTCTATATTTTGCTGTTGTCCACAGACTTTGCCTGAGACTAAAATTAATCATGGCAAACTAATTCATCTTACAAAAATATCTCAAGATAGTCAAATATTGAGGATGTGGCATCGATGTTGTTGGGGGCTTTTAGCCAGATTTGGGTAAAAAATCAAGAGCAAAGAGCCCAGAAACATGATTTAAAATGTGAGCCAAAAACAAAACAGAAAAGAAAGAAACAAAGAAAGAAATAAAAGAAACAGCTCTAATAAAGCTATAAAATGCAAATATAGAGTTGAGAGGCTCTCCATTGCCAAACAAAAAAACAGGAGAATATAAAAAGATGTCTTTAGGATATCACAAGAGGTGACAGGTTCTTGCTCTTTACAACTTCAAAATCACAAGGGTAGCAAACGTTGCTTTAAAAAAAAAAAAAAAAGCTGCAGAGCCCCGTGTTCCAAAATGGAGGTGAAAGCCACACCAGGTTCCAAAATAGAGGCAGCAGCCACACCATATTGCAAAATGGCACCAGCATAAAAAATGTTGTCTCTCAAAATCAGGATTAGAATGCATACCAATCCAGCACTAAAGTCCAACAACTAAAAAAATGTCTGGCTATTTCTCCAGCTGGCAGCCCTTGGCATCATCCAAGTGGCATTGGCTTTAGGTATATTTGAAATACAAGAATTCTGATATTAAAGACCTCCAGCTAGATATTATTTTTTTTTTAATTTTTAATTGTGTGTGTGTGTGTGTGTGTGTGTGTGTGTGTGTGTGTGTGTGACCAGCTCAGCCCACTAGGGGGCGGGGCTGGCTGGCATGTGGTGCTGGGGTATTGAACTATGGTCCCGGTGTTTTAGCTTGTTCTAAGTAAGTGCTTTAGACCACTGAGCCATCTCACCACACCCTCCATCTAGATTTTAAATGGCCTGGGAAGACAGACAGTGTGTCCCTGAGTGGGCAGTGTATAAAGCTGTGAGTAAAAAACCTATTCAATAAAAACTTCAAAAATTTAAAAAAGCCAAAAATGTAGATTGTTTAAAGAGAGCTACAAAGAAAAGACAAAGCCAGCCCCCTCAAAAAGCCAACCTCCTTTGAGGCTGCAAAGGGCAAGAACCTGTCACCTCGTGATGCCCTCAGGACATCTTTTTTACTCTCCAACAAAAGTGCCATAGAGGCAAAAACATATAAGTCTTTTAGAGTTCATGACTCATTACAGGTTATATTGGAATATTCCACATAAAACTACAGGATATCATGTTTGCCCCTCTGGATTTTAGACTTGCTTTGATTCCAGTAGTTTGTATCCTGCTGTGTATACCTTTTGAAATGATAATGTATATCTTGTGCCTTTAAATGTTGAGTGTCTAACTTTTCATTTATACAGGTAGACAGCTAAGAGTTTGTCTTAGACCTTAGAAGCTTGCTGAAACTATTTCGACTTTGGCAACTTTTAGAGGTAGACTAGATGCCTTTTTCACAAAGAAATGTTCATGAGTCTTTGTGGAGGGGGTGCCCAGGGGCAAAATGTCACGTTTCTAGTTCAATACAATGTTCAAGTTGTAAAATGTTAATAAACATGCCTATGTGCCTAAAATCTGGCTTAAAAAAATGTCTGGTTGCCAAGTTGACAAAGGGTAGATTGTAGTGGTTGATACATTGTGTCATCTTGAGGAGTTTAAAAATTTAAGTGACTCAGCAGAAAGCCAGGATTCTTAGTTTGTAAACATCCTTGTCATGTGAAATAGGAGGGAATAGCCATTGTGTGAGTTCTATAGCCCCAACCCCTGGATAGTTTATTTAAAAAAACAAAGAGGGAAGAGAGGCTTGCTAAAGCCATAGTGCTGTGCTTGCCTTTGTTTTTCATTGTTTTCTGCTGCCATAAACTGCTGTTCTCTGCCATGTGCCACTGGGCCACTCTGCCTGGGAGCTAACCAAGTATAGACTAAAACTTCCACAAACTGTGAGCTTAATAAACATCTCCTTCCTTAATTTTGGTTATTAGGTATTTTGTCCCAGCAATGAGTAAAAACTAACCAAGACAGTAGTAAAGCATAGTAAGATAGAAAGGTTGAGCTGCCAGCAGTGGGCACAGTCATCAGAGCTGCCTACTGACAGACAGGAAGGAATGAAAGAGAATAATTTCATTTCACACTCACTGATAAGGTGCCAGGGAGATGGCTCTGTGGAATAAGTGCTTACTTGGCAAGTACAGTGGCCTGAGTTTGATCCCTGGTTCCACAAAAATAAATAAATATATAAATAAAAATAAAGGTAGAAACTGCATCCTGTTAAAAAAAAAATACCAGTCACTGATAACCAGGATGGTAAACCTAGGATGTGAAGAACTGGTTAACCATACTTCACATATGTGATTTAAAATAGTGAAGCTGGATATGGTGGCCCATGCCTATAATTACAGCTCTGAGAATGTCGGTCAGTGCAAGCCCAGTGTGGACAATTTAGGGAGACTCTTGTTTCAAAGTTTAAAAAATGCCTGGAGCTTAATGGACATGTCTTGGGTTCAATCCCCAGTACTGAAGAAAAAAAAAAAAAAAAACAGCAAATGAGTGAAACAGAAGGAGAAAGTGAGAGAAAGAAAGAAAAAGAAAGTTAGGACTGAGCAAGTCTAATACCATAGAGGTAATGCTTACAGGCTCAGTGTTTGTAGTGCCTGGTTTCCACAGATAACAATGCTGTTTCTTAGGAAAAGTCTTGAGCTCTCTAAACCTTAGTTTGGATACCTGTAGAATGGATATAATTGTATTTATTTCATATGATCATTGTAGAAATGGAAAAGCGACATTGTATGTTAATAGCTTACATCAATCACAGACATATTTTTGTTTGTTTTATTGATTGTTTTTGTTACCAGGAATCAAACTTAAGACCTTGTGCTGGCCAGGCAGACTCTGTGCCCCTGAGTTACATCCCTGGCATTCCAGGCATATATTAAACACCCATAAATTTAAAAAGTGTTTTAAAGAAATTAAGGCTATTTTTGTAGTAGAAAAGGGTAAATTTATTTGAATAATCAGTTATAATGGTACATGTATTTGGTACTATGTTTTATACTCTATATTTGACAAGTAGTAAACATAAACTATGGGCCGTAAAGTTGAATAGACCTAGTTTTAGATATTCATCTGAATGAAACATTCAACTAGTGTACCTCAGTTTTCTTCTTCTTCTTCTTCTTCTTCTTCTTCTTCTTCTTCTTCTTCTTCTTCTTCTTCTTCTTCTTCTTCTTCTTCTTCTTC